AAACTATTTCAGAAGAGAGAATAAAAAAAATCATGGAAAATTCATAAAGAACAAAAAAAGAATATATATGATAGATTACGAGGTGTTGAGTTGTTAACAGTCATATTCAAGTGTTGATTTGATGGACAATGTTGTTTTTTTTGCATTCGGAAAATTTAGCAATTGATTGCGCCCAGTGCGTAAGACATCAAATGAATATTTGAGCTGATAAAGAAATGTATGACACGATGATTTGCTATATATTGATTCGGGTATTTTGTTGTTAGGACGATTCCGGAAAGTTTTCAGCACTGTGATTACGACGTATTCAAAGTGTCAAAGGTAATGCCGTCTCAATGATTGCCGAACATTTTTATGTTTATGGCTCAATGTCCAATGAGTTGTGAACGCGAGATACAAAAAAACAACAACACCGTCATCTATCGCGGTTTATGATTTAGAAAAAAAGGCAAACGCTTTGAGGCTCGTCTCATGTGATGTGTGTCTATGCACTCTGATTATCAGTCCTCGAAAAAAAAATGTCCCCTGTTGATAACCAGATCGGCAGACTTTTGTGAAATTTCGTTTTGTTTGCTCTTTTTCGTTTCTTTGATAATAAAATTTGTTTAGATTTTTTTCGAAATGAATTTTGGACTTGGATCTCACAAACAATTAATTCGATTGGTACGTGTGTGTATGTGAATTGAAAGAAGAAGAAAAACTCTAACTGCGCACTGTTTACACTTTTGATGGACATTGATTTCTTAATACATTTTATTTTCTCTCCGAGAAATAAATTTATTATCGATTGATACGGTCAACCCCAAAGCTCTCACTCATTTTTTTTCTCTCGCAAAATCTCGATTTCTAGAAATCCGATTCGTTATCATGAAGAATTTCGCTGTTTCATCACACGTGTGTATGTTTGTTTTGTGATTCTGTTTGCTTGAATTTTACTCAATGAATCACAATGTTTGAAGGCACGTAACTCACGATTATCAACGCAGAATTGGATATACACTTATAAATTGATAAGAAATAAGAGTCACTGTGGCGGAAACTTGAAGGTGTGACCAAAAGGCACAAAATGGTTCAAATTCAAGTACAACTTGAGATTCAATTTGGCGATATGATTACGAAATGTTCCAAATAAGCAAACAAACAGAAGAAAAAAACAGATAAGCAAGTGTTGCAGCGTCACTGGCTGTTTTTCTTTTTTTTCTCTTTATTCTAACAAAACCAGATTATGCTCGTGTTGCACATTTGTTCATTGATCACTTCTGTTTCGAACATCTCCAAGCTGACAAGGTTACCATTATTCTGAACAAATCATAAGCCCACAATTCCACTTGACATGCAATGATCTCAACACCGAATGTTCGTTTGCACACGCCAATAATCAATTCACAAATTCATGGAATTTCCAACCGGAAACCAAATTAAATTTTTGCGATCAAAAGGGATGAATGACTGAACTGAACCGCACAATTATAATGTCGACTTTGAACTAAAAGAAACCATTTTTACTCTTCATTCGAAAAGAATTACCTGTGCTCAACTAAAATATGCGAACAAGCTTAACAGACAGGCGGATAAAGGGAGAGAGAGAAAGCCTGCATTGTGTGCCGATATCGAACGGCCAAGAACTGACAATGATACAAAATGAAAAACAAAGCCATGGAATTCTCGTCTTGCCGTTGTCACACATCCATGTGATGTGTGTTTTTAGTTTGTTATCGTCATGTTGTTATGCATATGAATGAAACTGCCGCGTGCGCCACGGACCCAAAATCTCAATTGGATGAAGCAGCAGCGGCAGCAGCTACGATGGCGACGACAACGGCGTCTTTCAAAGTAAGTTGTTGGACTACATCAATATGATCGACACATTGGTCGTTTTAGTGACATCGCTTATGTTGTCGTATTTTAACGATCAAAGCAAATACCACACATTTATTGCGCGAAGTTCACACGTTGCTCAAACATAGTTTTATTGGTGTTTGTTAAGCGGATCAAAATAGAAAATATTTCGCTTGCCATTCAAAAAATGATGAACAAAACAAAAAAAATTTAAGAGAACAAAAAAACAAAACGAGAATGAAATAAGAAAACAAGAGAAAAAAAAACAATAACAACAACAGCAACAACAACGACCGACACATCGTCACGAGACATGCATTTAAAATGACATCCCATTTGGTTGAGTACGCGCCTTGAGTCACATCGACACCCATCAAAACCATCATTTTTATCGTTTAGTATTCATATTTAGTGTAAGCTCTCGGCTGCTGTTTCGCTAAACGCTCTCACTCGATACACACAGCGAAATATATTCGGAAAACAGACACAAAAAAAAGAGCAGGCAACGCAGTCAACAGACTGAATTTACGAGAAAACACCGACCGAAAATAGATTAAACAAAGAGTATAACAAACCACCAAACAAGTTCAAACAAGTGTATATAGCCAAGCATTTAGCATCGTTGCGTGCTACGGTACGCAATGTGACATTGTAAATGAAACATGTGATACATTTTTGTGCTGTTAAAATGAAACAATCGACACACAATTAATACGATAACGAATCGAGGAGAAGAAGAAAAAGAAAAAGAAGAAGGAGAAGAAAAATGGGCAAAGTAAAATCAAAGTAGCCACAGCTCAAAGTCGTCGTTCAAATAAAAAAAAAAACGAGTATGAATAACGAGCGACGATGGCCACTTGACAATTTATTGTTTCACTATGTATTTTTGACCCTTTAGTCATGGATTTTTTTTTTTGTATCGGAATATGGAGACAAGCAATGTGTTCCTATATCAGGTATCAATGTTCGATAACAATTCGTACTGACGCACGAGTTAAACGTACGACGTACACCACACAATACGGTCACCAAATGATCAAAATCAGTAGCAGACAGTAGAAAATAGCCAATAAATCGATTTGATTGTTCAAATCGAGTGGATTTTTATTCGATCGATTTCCCTACAGATTGATTAGCCCGCAATCCTGTCAAAAATAGCCCGACTATGTTCAAAAAATGGGTGTGCGTGTTCAACGGAATTTTTTTTTCCCTTTTTTCAATTGAAAAGAAATTCATCGGGCGAAAAGATTCCAATAGAACTTTGGTGTTAGTATTTGATTTCATCACAATGGCTTCATATGACATCATCAAGAATTTGGGCTCATGTACATTGTACTCATATTCCCGAATCATTCCGCACTTTGCCATTTCATTTATATTATTCGGCAAGCTAGTTTTTTTTTGCTTCACTTCTGCTATTTCGATGCTGTTATTGTTGTTGCGTTTGCTTTGATTTTTTTCCTCAATGAAATACGATGAGAATCGTAGAGAGTCATAGTCACATGTGCAGCAAGAATTGATGAAAAGTGAGCAAACAGAAAAAAATAACCGCATGCACGTCATCAACGAAACAAAACGTTTTGTTTATTTATACTTTTGCTTAAATTGAAATGTGTACGTGATGCGCTGTTGGTGCTCCTTACTCTCGCGCTCCATCTCGGCTGGGAGTTTTTTTTTTTGGTCTCTTGGCAAATTTTGCAACGGTCTCAAAGTGCAATATCACGTTGGAATGTGTCGTTTCTAATGTCTGATTCCAATATTCATGTCGATATCTTTCCGGCGATTTGATAAATGGTCGTGTCAAACGAAGTGAATAGAGACGCGCAGAAATGTGAAAGATAAACAGAAATGTGTGAAAATGTGAGCATAAAACACATTGCGGGGGATAACATTTGTCTATTCAACGTCATTTTTTGGCATGCGCATAAAGATAAGACCGCGCGGTATGCTGAAAATGTATCGTTTTTCCGCGCATTATTTTTAACTTTTTTATTGCTTGAAGGAAAAATATGCGACGATTCACATCGCAAATCACAGAAAATTGCGCACAATTTGATCTAGCTACTTTCGAGAATTTGAATTACGATTGGCATTTCTTTTTTGTGGTCGCTCTTCTTTTTTCTGCCTGCGCTTCGTTTCTAAACTTTTCAATTTTCATCGAGTATTTTTTTTTTGTGAGTCGTCAGTCAGGTCATTATTACGCGATAGATATAAATCTCACATTGTGCTTTAGTTGTTTTTATATACTATGAAAAAAAAATAATGATGTTTTTTCTTTGTTTTGTTTTTGTTGTTGTTGTTGACGAAATTGTGGGCCAATCCAATCCGGTGGGCAAAACACGCAGATCATATCATACTGAATGACGACAATGTGATAATGTGCTTGTGTGTTGGATGTGTGTTTTTGAGGCGCGTTTTCAGTACAGATACGGAGCGGTGGACACGGGGTATATACTGCGGAATAATTGTTGTCATTATTTGTTTGCTCTGTTTACCAGTGAAAACAAGGAATGCGCGCGCGCCAGAGCTCACGCAAATCAATCAACACATCTCAGAATGAAACGATAGATAGAAAGGAACAACAAAAACTACTCTATGCGTCTTCTTCCTGACATTTCATTTCCCTCTTCGGTCCGCCGATTATCCCGCCAATCAGATGTGCTCTCATTTGCATTGCTTCGAAATCAAAAATAATATATAATTTGTAACTAGTAAACAAACCGAATCATAGAAATGAATTACGATTCAAAATCCTGTGCGAAAGGAGAAAAAAAAAGTAGCAACCGATTTGGAATCTATAGCGAATAAACAAGCACAACAAAAACAGCGAAGAAAACAAACACACACACGAATACAAAGAAGTCCGTGTTGTTGTGCTTTGTTCAGCTGAAAAATGAAACGGACAGTGGCTGAATAATTTGAACTAATGAGAATGCATTTGTATTGGCTATTCACTTTTTTATTAATTTAGAAATCTTTTATTCATAGCAGCTGTGTGAACGAACAAACTGTTGTGCATACGCATCATACAGGGCCACCGATGCATTATCCGCTCACTCACTCTCCACAAACAACACACAACATTCTCCACGAGCACTAGTTTCTTAGTCATTGCTCTGTTTCGCCGGGCACACAGATGTTTGCGATAAAGAGAGCGGGACAGAAAGAGATGGAGACAGATGGTGAGAATGTGACAGAGAGATACAGAGAATGCTGCTTACTCAACGTAATTGAATATTATTCACATTTAATTAATTGTCTCAATTTCAAAAAGGCGACAAATTGTATGTTATTCCTTTTGATGGTGATGCCTGAAATATTGAAGCTCCGTGCATAGTGCACATATGTGCATCAATACGAAATTTTGATTTTTCAATTTATCAGCTCATTTCCAAGAATGTTTGATGATTCTATCACATACAACACCAGATAATGCATATTCAGTTCAATGTGACAAACTAATGACGCGAAAACATCAAGAGTGAGGGAACAAAATGAGAAGAAAAAAAAATTATCCCACATTCATAAACAAATACCTTCGACGAAGCAAAACGATTGAAACGAAAACACAATAAAAAAAAAAACAAACAAACGTATAACGGCAAGAAAAGTGCATAAATAATAAAAATGGATGGAAGCGATCGGCTATCGCAAATCGGGGGAAGAACATCATTTACGTGTATTTGTATTAAGACACAAATAACAATAACAAGAACAACAACAGCAAACGCGACAACAACACCGACAACAACGGCCGCAAAAAGGGGCATGATCCCAAAAATCAGAGGCAAAAACTTGCCTTGACAAGATTGCCATGCACACACACACACATACACCGCAGCCGCAATGTATTTGTCATTATTGTTTTTTAATTTTTTATCGATGTGACTTTGCCATACACCGTGTCGTCGTTCACGCTTATAGGAAACGATCAAAATTATTACTGGGAAATAATTATTACGCGCCTCTTTTCATCGGATCGATCAGTGCACAAGATATGGCCGTGTTGACATTGTGTTTACTTTGTTATGATTCAAAAAAAGAAGAGAAAAAAAAATGCAGCAAAACTTGTTATTTGTCTCTTTATATCAAATCTAAATATTGGTTGCACCGACACCCGCTGCACAATGAGTTAGAAAAGGATGAACGGACGACAAAAAAAAAGCAGGCAACGATTAATTCCATTAGTTCTGGTGTCGGCTATAGAGCATTGGTGAGTATTTTCTCGAGCTGAATATTCAAGAATAGACACATACGTCTCTCTCTCTCTCTCTCTCTCTCTCTCTGTGTGTGTGTGTGTGTGTATGGGACAGAGAGAAGAAAAAAATAGACGTACGTGATTGCAGTAACGAAAATAACTCGTTTCATATGCATTCCAAACTGAGAATGGAATTCCATCGAAGCCTAACATTTTGCTGACTGAGTCGGATAAATCCGAAAATTCCCTGCAAACGATTCACTTTGGCGATAGTTATTTATTTTTTTTTCCACTGAATCGTTTGTTTAGTCTCAGTAACCGTTTATTTTTGTAAATTGAAACGGGTGACCAATCGATGATTCCATTTAATCAATGAATGACCAAGTATTTTCGGGATTGGTCAACTCATTCTTATCATTAGAATCAGACAATTGGACGAAAAAAAGAAAACTAATCAATTTGGCTGCACACATGTACTTCGTTGGATATTTTTCCTTCATTTTTTTTTTCTTCTGTTCTTCGTTTCTCGGTTGAGTGTCATAATCGCACCACTGGCACACAAACATGCAAAACAATGTGCCAGTACCCACACAGAAAGGCTAAAACAGCCAGTTCATGGAGAGAGAAAAAAAGTCGGCAAGATTGTGACGTCAATGCCTGAGATATCAGACGCTTGACGAGAGCGAAACAAACACGTACACACGGACAAAAAAGACTTGGGTCGATTCGTGTGTCGGATAAAGAACACACTCAACATGTAGCCAATCAGAAAACGGCTTGCGCTTCTGTATTGGTGAAATGAGTTGGTTAATGTCGCCATCAGCCCTCTTACTCGCACATTCGTCCGTACTCTCTTTTGCATCGTACAAATATGTTAATTATCTATATGGCTCCGTATGTGCATATGTTTTCTACGGTGTTTGAACCATGAAATGCGAGAGCACTACGTGTCTTTGTGTGCATACTACTCCAGACGCTCTTTCACGTGCGCTCTCTCTCTCTCTCTCTTGCTCGTTTTTCCTCTCTCCCGCGCTCACTTCAGCGCTCTTGCTCCGTGTGATACGTGTTATGCGGTGCGTATAGCTATAGACATAGTGGAATATATGAATGATCTAACGCACAATCACAATCATACGGTGTATCACGCGAGATTGTGTCGCACAAGCGTATTTCGGTTGATTGTGTGTCATACAGTATATATGCATATACACTACTATAGTACATCGGATTTATTTCATTTTTCGTTTCTCCTATGCTTGTCTTTGTCCCATTCACCTTGGAGCGAACGCGCCTTCTTTCTCACACAATTGATACACATACTGAATGTAAACTGTTGTTTTTTTTTCCTTTTCTTTTCTTTCATCGCTTCTTATATCTTTTCGTTCGATTCGAAATCCGTTGTATTGACTCCGTTGGCAATGTTGATTGTTTTGTCTGATTGAAAGAATTAATTGCTGGCAAACAAATGGATCTGTACGAAAATAGCGTATTCTCATTAAATCCATCGATAATATCCCATTTTAAATCGTATTGGACGATTGGAAAAACGTGTAAAAACGAGCTCATTTTTTGGTTCAATAGAATTGCTCAATTTCGTAGTAAGATTGCTACATACAAATGCAATGGCCGTATCCATTGAAACAGTGAATTCAATGTACTGGCTGACGGTTTGGCAATGTGTGCATGCGTGTGTGTGTGTGTGTGTGTGTGTGTGTGTGTGTGTGTGTGCATGTTGATTTGTTGTTGTTTTTTCCTTCGTTCGATTCGTCGCCTCTCATCGGCTTATATACGTATAGATGTTGCCATGGAATGATGTTAGGCTTTAATTCATAGAACTGTAATTCAAAATCTTTATTGTGAAACACACAACTGCACGCGCATGGATTCGCACAAACGTCGAAATATCCGATACTCTCTTCGTCTGAGAAACATATACACACACCACGCATACTATTGAGCTCTACATTTGAGGAGAGAACTCGTCGTATAAACGAGTCATTTTATACTCTCTCTCTCTATCTCTCGCTATATACGTATCGGTTTTTTTTGCGTCTGATCTGTTTCTGTCTGTTTCGTGCACCAGGCGACGACTGTATTCGCCGTCTCATTTATATTGGATACACTGTTGTTGTTGACGTCGTCGACGTCGACGACGTTTTAACAAAATTCGTGTTTGCCCGTTCTCGCGCGTAGCATTTTCTAGTGTGTATAGTCGATTGTCAAATTGTGGACTGCGCAAAACAACGAAAAACGGTCTGTGCGCTGATAAGCAGCACGAGAATTCCTATTAAATCAAACGAAAAATACAAATTCGTGCCAACGACTGACGGTTGTGTGAAGCACTGCCCACCGACGATTACGACTCTCTCGCAGCGCGCGCTATAGTTTCTTTTTCTTCACTCGTTCGTTTCATTCGTATTATTTTTTTCATATTGTGAGTATATATAATTAAAGTGCACATGAAGTTGGTTTTTGACATTCACAATACATTTTTCGAAGCGATAAAAAGAACGTAAAACAATCAGTCAACGTGAAACATTCGAAACGGAAAGGAACAGAAGTACAAACACACAATTTATATATATATATACATCAAATATATGTATAAATATACGAAAAGAAGCGTATAAAAGCGAAGAAAAAAGAAAAAAAAAGGAAATCGAATACATCGCATAAATTTTTTTTCTTCTTCTCATTATCAAATCAAGAAATTGATTTAGAACGCTGAAGTTTATAATCGTGTTAAATAGTGGCTGCTGGTCGATTCAACGAATTACACCACATACAGAGAGCCAAAAGCAAATAAGCAAAAAATCAGAGAAAGCACACACAATCCGCTCCGTTGTGGAAACGAAATTCAGTTTAAAAAATTCGCCAAGTGTTGAAGTCGCATGTTTGAGAGGAGACAAATTTGAGAGCAAAAGAGGCGAAAAGGAAAGCAGCAGCAGCAGCAGTACCAGCACCAGCACCAACCAACCAATATATAGCAGCGAACATATTTGGTTCGACGAGCAGTCACCTTTAGGAAAGGTCATTACATAACCAAATTTTTTTTTCGTTTGTGTGGTGTTCGTTTAACCGAACCGTTACGGGTTGTTTGTGAAGGACATTGCACATAAATAAATTGAACCGAAGAAAAGTGCGGAAAATTTACCAATTTTCAAATTACGTGTTTAACCATTGAAATTCAAAAGCGAAGTGAAAACACATACACAAACGCACGTAGCCTGCCAAACAGTTGAGAGAAAAAAGAGAAGAAAGGAAAAAATAACGCCAACGAAAAAAAAATCGAAATTGAAAGTCAAAGAAAAAAATAAAAGAAATAGTGTTGACAAATTTCATTCATCAAAAAACAACTGAATTGAAAAAATCCGTTGCATCAAGTTGAATACTGTTTATTTGGTGTGGTGTTTTGAATAAGAAGAGAAAAAAAATAAATAGAAATAATAATAAATTGGTTCATTGAAGAAGCAACGAAAGAAAAAATAGTAAAAACGTAAGAGGCGATTGACGAAAGCAGTTCAACAGAACCGAGAATCAAAACCCAAGACACATCAAAATCAATCGCGTACAAACCAGAAAGAAGTGTAAAACGTATATATACAACATATATATCTACGCATAACAAACGAAACGAAAACGAAGAAGATACAAATTAAAAATAAATCACACAGTCAGACTAACAGAGGAGCAAAATGGGTACAAAAAAGGCTGATGCAAAATCGCAACAAATCCGCGATGAATGTCAAGAATTAATATTGACCGATGAACACATGCAAGAGCTGATGAAACGTGTCATTTTCGAAATTGAACGCGGTCTGAGTGCAAAAACACACAATGAAGCCGATATCAAATGTTTTACCACATATGTTCAGGATTTGCCAAATGGCAGTGAATGCGGCAAATTTTTGGCATTAGATTTGGGCGGTACAAATTTCCGTGTGCTCATTATTCATTTAAATGGTGAAAATGAATTTAAAATGCAATCGAAAATCTATGCGGTGCCACAGAGTATAATGTTGGGCAAGGGCGAAGAGCTATTCGATCACATTGCCGAGTGTTTGGCCAATTTTATGAAAGAGAACAATGTGTACAGTGAACGTTTGCCATTAGGATTCACATTCTCATTTCCATTGCGGCAGCTTGGCTTAACGCGCGGCCTCCTATCACAGTGGACAAAAGGTTTTGCGTGTTCGGGCGTTGTTGGTGAAGATGTTGTACAATTATTGAAAGATGGCATCGCACGCCGTGGTGACGTGCAAATCGATGTGTGTGCCATTTTAAACGACACAACCGGCACACTGATGTCATGTGCATGGAAAAATCATAACTGTCGAATTGGTTTGATCGTTGGCACCGGCAGTAATGCCTGTTACGTTGAAAAGGTTGAAAATTGCGGCCTCTTCGATGGTACTTCCAAAAAAGATCATGTCATTGTTAACACCGAATGGGGAGCGTTCGGTGACAATGGTGCATTGGACTTTGTACGAACACAATACGACAGAGAAATTGACGAGCACAGCATAAATCGAGGTCGACAAATCCAAGAGAAAATGATTTCGGGCATGTATATGGGCGAATTGGTGCGACTGGCATTGGTTCGATTCACCAAAGAGGGCCTATTGTTCAGTGGCCAAAGTACAGAAATGTTAAATACCCGAGGCCGTTTCTTCACAAAATTCGTGTCCGAAATTGAAAGCGACAAACCCGGCAGCTATATGTATTGTCGCCAAGTGTTGGAAGAATTGGGCTTGGATCATGCCACCGACGAAGATTGTGAAAATGTTCGCTATATTTGCCAGTGTGTTTCAACCCGGGCTGCTCACTTAGTGTCAGCCGGCATTGCTGCATTGATCGATCGAATGGATGAGAAAAGTGTTGTGGTTGGCATCGATGGTTCGGTGTATCGTTTCCATCCAAAATTTCATGATCTAATGACAGCGAAAATTCGTGAGCTCATTAAACCGGATATCAAATTCGAACTTATGCTATCAGAAGATGGTTCGGGACGTGGTGCTGCGCTGGTAGCAGCCGTTGCGTGTAGAGAGGAAGGCCGGTTGCAGTAATACAATTTATACGCATACTATACTATTATAATAAATAATTATTATTGTTTAAATAAATAGAAAAAGAAGAAAAAAAAAACAAACAAACAAAAAACCTATTGTAGGAAATTAATTATTGATTTATGAGACAGAGAGATTTACAAAGTAACTTGAGAGAGAAATGAAATCAATAATCGAAATATAAAAAAATATTCAAAAAAAAATGAACAAAAAAATATAACACAAAATCAATACGAAAACTTAGGAAAAAATGAGATAAACTTTGCGCGTAAAATTCATGCAAAATACAAAATCATATACATATAATATGTAGAGCAATCAGTAAGGAATGAGAAAAAAATCAATCAATCTTGTTTTGAAAAGGCAAACACCACACTCAAAAAAATCCTATTAGTATACACACAACAACAAAAGCAAAGCAAAGCAAAGCAAACAGAAACACACAAAGCATAGAAATGAAAAGAGAATGATGAAAAAAGAAAACATCAAGTGAAATGATCATGAAAATGCAAGCTAAGAATAAATATATACATATAATTAGGTCGCAGACTTGAAGTTCTATTTGAAAATGATAGACGCATGAAATGAAACGCAAACTTCAAACTCAATACACATATAGAATTTCTGCAAAAACAACAAATCGAAGAGAACACATTTTCAACAACAATAAACAAAGATTTAAATGAAATAATTAAAGAAAAAGAATAAAATGAATTTAGACATATTTTACTATAATATTATTACAATTTTTTTTTTGTTTTTATATATATAACAGAGAAATAAAAAAAAAAACAAAGTATGAAAGAATGAAACTCTAAATTAAACTATATTCAATGTATGTCAAATTGTAAAACCTAAATGAAATTGTGCTTCGAAATTAAATAAAGTTGAGCAATTTGTTGGAATTATTTTAAAAACAAAACCAAAATTTATTTCTTGCTTTTTTTTACAATTTGGCTATGAGAGAATAAGTTTCACTCATCAGAATACTTGAACTGAATGGAGGTGAGAGCCGAGGAAAGACAGCCGTAAAACATATTTATTGATATGGCGTTCATTGGATTTGACGCGGTTTTTGCCGCTATTGTTGTTGCTAAGTTATTTGCAGTGCACGAAGCAAATTTTTGGAATTGTGTCTTGTTTTGTTCCCCCTTAGGTTTTGTGCCTCTGGCGCATATCATTCAAAATATGCGACTAGATTAGCCAAAAAGAGACATGACTTCGGCTGCTTGTGTGCAACCAATACCACACACAGAAAAATGGAGGCAAATTCAAACTCTTTCTATTTTTTTTCTTCTTTGGAATCCGGTGTGAACCAACTAGTTGCTATGGACAATAAACTCGCAACATGTGTACGGCTGTATAAATACAACGCAGTAACGACATAGAGGTAAATAAATACTGGTGCAGCAACAGAGAGCAAACCCGAACATAGTCCGAGAGAGAGAGAGAGGGAAAAGGAGATGGAGAAAGAGAGAAAGAGGGAGAGAGAAATATGTACACCAAAGTGACAACGAACGAAACAGAAACAAACAGCGAGCGCATAAATGTATTCATATTTAAAAGTCATAAGGCGACAACTAATTGAATAGTCATTACAAAGTTGTAATTGATCATATACCAATAAGCAATATCGATAAAGAGAGGCAAGCGATAAATAAGTGTATATGTTTGAATAGACTCAAGCGAAAACATTCCATGTGACGACTGTGTTTCATATATCGAATTGCTTAGGAGAAATAAATGAAGAAGAAGAAGAAGAAGAAGAGAGAGAGAGAGAGAGAGAGAGAGTGAGAGAGAGAGAAATAAACAACGTTGACAAAAATACGAATATTCAGACAACTTCGTGCACACATACAAGTAAATTATGCAACAGCTATGCGATATGTGTCGTTAAGTGGCATGCGAAACCTGTCTTATTGCTCATTTGATTAACTATTTCTCCAGGAATTGCCATTGCTATTTGGTGCTCGGATTTCTCTCTCTCCCTCTCTCTCTCTCCCTCTATTCACTCTATGTATACCTTGCCACACTTCTTTGTCGCCCCAGTCAAGAGAATCGATATCGACAATAGATCCATTTGACCGCAAGCCACACCGACACGAATTGAGATCGCTGGCGCTTCCAAAACATGCATGAAAACAATATTTTTTTGTCGCGTTCTCTCTCCTTCTATCTCTTTCATCGCCTGATTTCATGTGCTAAAAAGACACTGTGAGCGAACAAAATTGGAAGCACGGCCATTCAACAGCTTCGGAACGAAAAGAAAATTCCGAACTTTAAATAAAAGCGAATCAACAACGGTCAACAAAATGATAATAAATTGATCATTGAACGAAATCAAAGTTAATGATGTCAATTGATAGCGTTTCTTTTCTTGGATGAACACGAATCCCGCTCCCCTGCTCTCTCTCTCTCTCTCTCTCTCTCTCTCTCTTTCTCTGTGTCTTCGCTTCTCGCTTGTATCGAAAATAGCATCAACAGAAATGAATTTGCGCGAAATTTCTACAATTAGAATGAAATAATTTTATATTTTGATTGTTCGCAATAATTCATTTGATTTTAATGCACATATACGTGGGTTTGTATGTGTGTGTGTCACAAATTCGCTCGCATTATATTCTATTCTTTAATTATCAGGTTTTAGTTTTTGCCTCCAAAGGACTTTCTTCTTCGACATTTGTATCATCATTTCATTCCGTCACACCGTCATTTCGCATATTCGCACTTTATCTTCGGCTTTTAAATGTGTTCATTTAGGATGTTTTCATCTCCCTGTTGTTCTCACACATTTCGGGCTATTACCACTTGGAGGTGTACTATACAAACAAAATTTGAAGCAAAAAAAAATGAGCGAAAATCATTTTACACTTTTATTGGTCAATATTCCCTAAGTTTGTTCTGTTTTGTGTAATTAAAGCCCCACATGATTACGATTTGTGCACACATATTAAATTTGCCTTATTATTGCTGAAGCAGTAAACGGTTTTTAATTGAAGAACAAAAAAGATGATGGAAAAAGCAATGAAAAACTCCAATTAATTTTCGCATTGTCATCGCAATCAAGAAGTCGAATATGAAATACAGTGTGAATCGAAATGATTTGCCCTTCAAAAAATTCATCGGTGTCTGCCACACTCTAGTGTTATTGATTTTTTGGTTTTGCAAATTTATTATTTCCTTACAGTCATTGCACTGAACTCGTAATAATTATTGAGATCTGTGTGTATACGCAAGGGCCGAAGAAACAAAATTATGACGGTATGATTATTTTGAGATGTGAAATAGACATAGAGAGAGAGAGAGAGATAGACAGACAGACAGACAGAATCGAATTGTGAAGTGCAGGAAGTGATCAAGATCAATCGATTCCGGATTGCTTCGAGTCATATGTTTTGTTTCTCGCTCTTTTTTTCATCGTTTCCTAGATGAATTGATTCTCTCTTCACACGAGCTCTACATTTGAATAGTTTAGTTTTGTTTCTCTTTTTGTGTGTATGTAATTCTGTTTGTTTTTTTTTCGTTTGTCATGCATCATTTTCGAAACGACAACAAAACGTATCTATCGAGTTGGTGTCGTTAATTTTTTTTCCCTTCGTGTTCATTGGTTCGTTCCTTCTTTTACTCTCTGTCGTTTGGGCTAAATGTCTGTAGCAATATTTCTGAACACATGACATTGGGCCGTAGGACGAGCGCGAGCGCAAACAACAATAGGGCAAAGAAGAAATACCAGAAAATGAAGCGCAAACAATGTAACAAAACAAATCTGCAGTATACAATATACCGATTGTAAAATTTCGATTACATGTAGGAGATGCGCACAACACCAAAGGCCCAACAAGCACTTGCCCTGCGAAATGTGGCGCAAAATATCCAACGATGCTTTGCATAAATACTTTTACCCATGACTCGCAAAATCAAGTTGGATAGGATTTTTCACAGGCTGGATTATTTCAGTGCGTGATATGAGGAAGAGATTACAATAGAAAAAGAATCGATGCGCTGAGATCATCGCTTACCGAATGTATCAATAAAATGCATTCGATCATCATTGAATACCGTATATACAGGTATGGTGAAAGTGTTTGTTGGGCATTCTTGTTGTTCGCAATTTAGCTGATTTTCTCTTGGTCGTTTTGGGCCATTCGTTTTATTCGATCAATGAACGCAAACGCAACTCAAATAGAAAATAATTTGATACAAGCTTCATTTATAATTCACCCTCTCTATGCCTCTCTCTCTATATTTTTGTTGCTCCATCGTGTTTGTTTCCGATGCATGATCTTCTATAATAATTAAATAGATAAGAAATAATATGGCCATAATTAAGATAACCTTTCGCATTTGGAAAATTACGAAAGATGTGTACAGGAGAGGAGATCCATCCACAAATTAGAATATATATTGACTGAGCAAACATTCTTTGCAAATGAATTGCAGGCAATTAAAGTTTCGAACCGAGCGAGAATAAGCAAACGCATGAATTATTCACACCATATTCTTAGATTAATCAAAATATGTGCAGAATAAGCGAATGACAACGACAATAAAATTAATGGTTTGGAGCGAAAATGTAATACAGAAAAGTTGGGCGGAAAAATGTCGATGATGAATGAGCGGAAAAGAGATAGCTATATAGCTAACTGTATAGTAAACTATAGTGAACTATATAGCTATCCTTTTTCATTTGACATTTTTCCGCTTAACTTTTCTGTATTACATTTTCGCTCCAAACCATTCATATGATCGCTCTTTTATTGATACTTAAAAAGAAAATATAGCCTACAAAGGCACACACATACGCACGCAAACACTCATACCATTCTCAAACGTCAACATGATAACTATTCCCAAAAAAAATTAATATACAATTGTACGAAATGAACGAATTGAAGCGATATATATATATATATATGGGCAAATGTCGTGAAAAAGCAAACAAGCAGGAGAAGAGAAAAAAGAGTCGAAATGAAATGAGAAAAAAGAGAAGAATAACAGAAGCAAAAATTCGCGCCAGAAAAAGAAATATTTCACATTCACATGTTTTAAAATTCTAATTGGAGTCATTGTAATGAGCGCGCGCCTTTATCAATTCGGAATATTTTAAGTCTTGTGATTATTCGTACGTTGTACGACTGCTCAGTAACCCGTCTCTGTCCAATTTTAGTCAACTAATTCAGGTTCGTACTGAGCCCCTATTTTCATACATTTACGAACGATTGAATAACGAAAACGAGATAGCCCGGCTACAAGCGAAAAGAAAAAAATAAAATAAAATAGTAGCGCCACAATCAATCTATTACTACTATCTATTGCCTGCAATTCATACGTACGTCTTTCATCACAATATCTTATTTTGACTCTCTATCTCTCTCTCTCTCTCCATCTACCCTCCACCCTCGCCCTGTCTCTCACCCACTCTCTCTCACTCTCTCTCTCTCTCTGTATGTAATTCAATTTAAAATGATGAGATCTATTTAATAGGAATCAACAATAAATGAATTCCCTTACATAATTCAACCACTGCGAAACATACCAAGCACACATTCAACATTGGAAATAATTATATATAACAAATAGAAATATATGCGGTAGCGATATAATTTGGATATCGATATTGATATTGAGTGTGTATGACGTGAGCAACACACGAAGTGAGAAAAATATGTGACAAAAGAAGAAAGAAAAAAGAGACGCGCATTATTCATATCGGTTGTCCGTGTGTTTGGACCCACCATATCAATGATAAATCGTTGTTTTTGTTCTTTCTATTGTACTTACGTATCGGTCAAAACGCCTGAATTTACTGACGATTCACGATTCAATTTCTGGCGTTGGAATTTCTCGAAAAGTTCACCACCGCCACCGTTACCGCCTGCATCACTACTATTCATCGGTCCCGTTTTATTAATGTTACTAAAATTAGAA